TTCTAGAAATAACTACGTCATCTCCGGTTTTGCAAGTTAAGTTTTCAAGGATTTTGAGAGGATTCGTGGAATTTCTGAGAAGAATTCCTGATATTCCTAGAAATACTAAGACAACTTTTATTGCTTTTCGGAGAGTTTCTAAGGATTGCTAACGCTTTATAGGGATTTTTAACGATTCCTGTAGTTTTCTAAATACTTAAGGGTTGACTTCTAAGACTTGCAAAGATTATTCCAACTATTTCCATGGATTTTTAATGATTGCCAGGTTGTCAGTATATTTCTAGAAATAACTGTCATCTCAGCTTTTTCAAGTTAAGTCTTCAAGGATTTTGAAAGGATTCGTGCAATTTCTGAGAAGAATTCCTGATGTCCTTAGAAATACTAAGGAAAATGTTTATTTGTAACAATTTTTAAGTCTTTTTTAGAATTCTCAGACAACTGTTATTGCTTTTCGGAGAAATTTTAAGGATTTCCAAAGCATTAGAGGGATTTTTAACGATTCCTGTAGTTTCCTAAATACTAAGGGTTGACTTTTAAGAGATGCAAAAGGATTCCAGAGAACTTGCAAAGATTATTTCAACTATTTCCATGGATTTTTAATGATTGCCAGGTTGTCAGTATATTTCTAGAAATAACTATGTCATCTCAAGTTTTTCAAGTTAAGTTTTCAAAGATTTTGAGAGTATTCGCGAAATTTCTGAGAAGAATTCCTGATGTCCTTAGAAATACTAAGGATAATATTTATTCTTTTAATTCTTAGAAAACTTTTATTGCTTTTCGGAAAGATTTTAAGGATTTCCAAAGCATTATAGGGATTTTTAACGATTCCTGTAGTGTCCTAAATACTTAGGGGTTGATTTCTAAGATTTACGAAAGGAATCCAGAGAACTTGCAAAGGTTTACAAAGTTATAAAAGAATTTCCAACTATTTTCATAGATTTTTAATGATTGCCAGGTTGTCAGTATATTTCTAGAAATAATTATGTCATTTCAGGATTTTCAAGTTAAGTTTTCAATGATTTTGGAAGGATTCGTGGAATTTCTGAGAAGAATTCCTGATATCCCTAGAAAGACTAAGGATAATATTTATTTGTAACAATTTTTAAGTCTTTTTTAGAATTTTCAGACAACTTTTATTGCTTTTCGGAGAGATTCTAAGGATTGCCAAAGCTTTATAGGGATTTTTAACGATTTCTGTAGGTTTTTTAATACTTAGAGGTTGACTTCTAAGACTTGCAAAAGTTTCCAGAGAACTTGCAAAAGAACTTGCAAAGATTTACAAAGTTATCCAAGGATTTCAAGCTATTTTCATGGATTTTCGAGGATGCCAAAAAACTTGTTTGAATTAACAAAGTTATCAAGAAACGTTTTCAAAGATATGTAATGATCGTCAGGTTGACAAAAGATTTCTGCTTCTTTTTTGTTTTATGAAAATGAAAAGAATGAAAGATGTGCAATATCATCTTACTTTTATTGATTTGTCTTTTTCTGGTGAAAATCCCAAATAAATAATGCACCTCACGTTTTCTATCTAGAAATCGAAGGCTAAAGTAAAAGGGGACAAGATAAAAAGAAAAGAAGCGAAAATCCAAGGATTTAGAGATCCCCAACTTTTCGTCAAAAGTCGAAGACGACGCGAAACTCTTCGTATTTTCTTCGCGTGGATACACACAACCCCCAGCCGAATAACTTGCTTGCTTTGGGGGTGCTGAAATTACAGGACTAATAACCGCACGGTTCATTGAAAATAATCCCAATATTAGATCTCGAAGAGGGTTGTTTCTAACCCCAATATTACATTTTTAAAATAAATTTTTGAAGTAAGTACATGAAGTAATTTGTAAAGCACCATTTTACTTGGGTGGTTATTACCAACATGAAACGTGAAATTCTAATCGACGATGCCAACGGCACGTAGATCATAAAACCGGGCGCGGTTTCTAATTTTAAAACGCGCGTAAATCCCGGCGACTTCTTCTTCCTGGTTCCTCCCCCTGTTCGCCCGGTAAACATCACTAAACAGGAAGGGAAATAACCTTTACAATTAGGCAGCAGAAACTAAAAATAAATTTAGATTTTTTTGAGTCTCTTTTAAGTTGGGAAAAATCTCGTTGTTTTAAAACCCTTATCGATGTCTAATATTCACCCTCCGGGAAGTTCCCACTTTAAACGAAAAGAACTTCCTCCTTCACTTTGAAAAACTCTTGACGATAATTTTTTTTTACATAAAAATTCAACTTTTCATTTCATAACCTGTTTATTTAAATTAACCCCTCTTTTTATCAGTAATAAAAACCATGCGCATCGATCAATCAATCAAAGTGTCAACTTGTCAACCAACCCCAACTGTTGGTCGTTGGAAATGTTTAAGGGGTTTGGGGCACAAGACACGTAAATTACCCCAAACATAGTCAATGTTGATACGAACCAAAAACTCGTATTTTTAGAAGTTTGGAGAATAAAATTATTTTTGTAGAATTATCGGGGGAAAAACGTAAAACACGCTTTCGTTGATTTATTATTGCGGCGGTGTAAACCCGGCGGCGGGCACTAATTGGGGTTGAAATTTCCGGATATTCGATATACATTTCCTCGATGGGGGTGTAAACGTTGAAATTCCGCATTTATGCATTCGAATTTTACGGCGGTGTAATTTTATTGGGTGCTTTATATGTTTCAATGATCAATTTAACAAGTGGTTTTAATTTTTATAGGGGGATAAATAAATTCTTTTCATTTCAAGACTCTTAAGCCTGTATCACCCCGTAGCAATTGATCTGCTCAACCTGAAATTTTCAAAAAGCTAGAAAAACATCTTTTAGAAACACCGAAAATGACAGAAATAATTTTTTTCTCGTATTTATTATTAAAGGTGGCGAGAAATACGATATAGTTCAAACTAAATCGATCGGGAATTCTGCTCAACCCAAAACTTGCAAAAAGTCTACCAAAAATTTGTTTTCTAAAGAAATCGAAAATGGCAAAAGTAATCTTCTTTCTATATTTTACTTTATACAGGGTCATCCACGACGACCGTCCATTAGAACTTTACAGGGTTCTGGCCAAAATACAAATTTGAAAATTCAGATTTAAGTATTATCAATTGCGTTCTCTCGACTAAAATATTTTCAAATATCTAACACTTCCGGTTATACCGTGTGGGACAATTTAAAAAGAGAGTAAGAAGCCGCCACCTACTTTATTTTTTTAAATGGAACACCCTGTATATTTTTACATATTTGGACTTGTCTGCTTTCAAGGTTTATGAATGACTTTACTTTTTGTAATTTGATTCCGCCGTTCTCTAGTTATTCGAATTTTTCTAGAAAAATCTGCTCCAGCAGACATTTGTTCAAAAAATCAGAGAACACTCGATTTTTGGGATATCAATTTAGGATTCAGAACATGCTTAAGCAACATGATGGAATATGTTTTGGTGCCAAGTATGGCTGTCTAGAACGTTTGGTCACTTTACTATGGCATGTTACCTTTTCGAAACTTGGAAGTACCATAACTTCATTTCTTTAAATGGCACCCCCATATTTTATTACTTAGTCGTCTTCGGTGTCTCATTTTACATCTTTTATATCCGATATGTCCTATACCTAACATTTATAGTTTGGGAAATAATTAGGATTTAAGCAGTATCTAGTCTTCA